CAAAGCCGTCATTTCCGGATCCGATACAGGTATTGCTTCAGTCTCGGAGGGCAGCAGCGCAGCCAAATCATCCTCTCCAAAAAGCTCTGGCTCACCCTCCAATGCAGCGATTGACATCCGGTCGTCGGGAGGAGCGCCAAAGGATACTGCTGGTACGCTCCTTGTAGAGGGCCCAGCACATTCCATTGGCAGCTCAACTGGTTGCGGAGTGCAAGAGGAGCGATGGTCCCTCGAGGGTTGGTTCCCTGGAGGGTTTGCCACCACTGTTGTTTGGGGGCATCACTGCTGCACTCACTGCTCTTATCCATGCTAGGCTGGGTGGGGATTTCTTGCCCAGAACAGAACCATACTGTCAATACAAACTGTATGTTAATCTAGCATAGTGTTAGTTCTGGCAGGTCACGTTAGTCAAGAGTGCATCAGTTTACTATCAGCGCTGGTTCTGTTCTGTTTACTCTGAATGGGTTATCGCTGTGCTGCTCTTATTTTTTTTTATTTTTAGGTCAAATAAATGCAGCCTTGGTGTAACAACATAAATATACCTAAAGATTCCAATCTTTTAAATGTTATGTGTATAAAACATGTACACAGTGTCATGAAGTTGTGCCTCAAATGTTTATATAATGCATATTAAGATATCTTTGCTTACTCGACTGAACTACAGAATGAATGAATAAAGTTTTCTGTTTAGATCTAGATGCACCCCAGACATCCATCTATCCAAAGGATGATGTAGAGCTGGGTGTTCAGAACACTCTCATCTGTCATGCGACTGGCTTCTATCCTCCATCTGTCAACATCTCATGGACTAAGAATAATGTTATTGTGACAGAGGACATAAGTTTAAGTCAGTACCGTCCGAGGACAGATGATACATTCAACATCTTCTCCACTCTTAAGTTCACACCTGCTGAAGGAGACATTTACAGCTGTACTGTGAACCACAAAGCCCTCCAAGGTCAACCTCAGACCAAAATATGGGGTGAGTGTGATTTTCAAATGGAATGGACAATATTACAGCTTTTTGTTGTTGCTGTTGTTGTTACAAAAACAAATTACTGGTCCCACTTTATATTAAGTGTCCCTAATATCTGTGTACTTACATAGTAACTAGATGTGTACGTACTATGTAACCACAGTGTAAGTACACATTGGTACATAGTATCTACAGCTGTAATATTTCTGTAACTACACACATGTAACAACCCTCCGAATGGTTTGTGTAAGTACAAATGTGTAACAGGACATTGGTAACAACACTTTTT